ATATATGAGCTGCTGGCAAGGCATCAGAAAATCAATAGCTTCATACATTTATAACTGAGCATTTACCACATGAAAGGCTGAATCCCAAGACAGAAACTGCTCTAATTAGGAAGCCTCATCTAGGAAGAATGATCTTATCTGGATTTTAAACATCAGCCTGTCTCTCCTTCTAGTAGTGTGAACATCAGTAAGAGTGAGCGTGCTAAGCACTCTTTTGCACAGTCTCCATAGAGTGTTCTGATAATGCTCTTCCCACTTCGTTCTCACCCTCAAGAGAGGATGCTGAAATGATTTAATCTTGCCCCCTTTGGTAGCACACTGATCTCCAACGTTTGCTGGATGGGGCCTTGAGCAACCTGATCTACTAGGTGGCATCCTTGCTTGTGGTGGGGAGTTGAACGAGATGATCTTTAAGGTCCCTTCCAACCCAAACCATTCTATTGTCCTATGATTTGCCAGACTTCAAAGAAAATAACCCATGGCCATAATGTTTGTTTGTTTAAGCCCAAGTTTATTTCATGTTTTGTTTAGCTAGATATTCTTCAGCAGCTTGCTTGTCCCATTGCCTGCTCCCCTCGGGAGCTGCTGGGGCAGCCGGGTATTAACCAGGGAGCCACAGCCTCAGCTCTGCTGTGCACCAAGGGTGGCTTTTACGTAACCTGCTCTTCCATATCTGGGGCACCTTCACGCTGAGGGAGCAGGCAACACACACAGGCTGGAGAGAAACAGCTGGGCGTGGACCAGATTTGAATAAGGTAACTAAGGCTTATTTGAGCAGGTAAATGAACAGGTGTCTGAGAATTGCAAGGGTATGATTGCCACTAAATGATAGCACACATAGGGAAGCTTGTTTAGTCTTTGAAAACCAGCCAGGCACAAGCAAAGGTCAGTGGGCTAAAGTCCCACAAACAAGAAGGGGCAATACAGAACTGGTATGACCCCCTGCGCAGGAACAACTTTATTATACTGCCATTGTATAATACATTCCTGGCATTTTTGCTGCTGCCAAAAGGAGCCACTGTGCCTATGATTCTTTTAAGACTGGGAATAAAAAGTTACTAACATTTGTTCCTATAGAAACTCAGCTATTAAAAAAGAACTATTGGAACAAATTAAAGAAACACTGAACTGTTAAGCCCTTTTTATGTCAGAAACTTTTAAAGAAAGACATTGGGAAAAATTTAGCTCAAGTGAGGAATATACAACTGTATTACAAATACTCATTTCATGTTTACAGAGACATAAATCAGTCACGTGATATTTCACAATCACAGCAAGCCTTCAGCCAGGCACTGCTAAACAAACCCAGGCTAAGTGCAGTGGCTTACCATTTGAAATCCCATGGGTACAACAGAACCCAGGAGCTGCAGCCCATTACCCAGCTCAGTACAAACTCCCCAGCTCAGAGAACACTGCTGACTCTCGTGCTCAGTCTGCTTCTTCACCCCTATTTGCCCAAGTACAGTGACTGCAGAGTACCTCTCCTGCCAAATTTGACCCACCTTCAAAAAAATCAGAAACTTTTACTGATTCTAGTCTTTCACATCTTGTATTTTCTTGAGACAAATTAAGGATGATAGAGTTGTGTTGAGACTGTGCTATGAAGATATCCCTAAGCAGCCAAATCCTCAAATTGTGAGAGAAACTTATTTAAAAAATCTCTTAAGCACAGTATAATATAATAATCTTAGAAACTACGCAATCTTTCTACAATCTCTGTTATTTTTCCAAGATTCATCTGGCTGTCAATAAAACATACCAGTTCCCCTTTTTTTCTTTATGCCTTCTTCTTATCATTATGAGTATACATTTTTTCCATCATACTATTTCACTCTATTCACAACATTGTCCCTGGAAAGAGACAGTTGTTAGACATCTCAGGAAGGAAACAATTTTATGTTAAAATGCCCCAAGGAAATGAAAAGCATAGGCAAGGAGGTAAATTTTTTAGCTAAAATAAAATGAAGTCTACTCTTTCTGCTTGGGCTATCAGTTTCAAGGAGGATTTAATAGAGAAATTCTCCACACATGTTAGAATACCCTTCCAAATCTAGACTATAAAAGAGATAGCACATACAGTTTATCTGCAAAGTCCAAGGTAAACAGAAATTGCTGCTTCCTTGTTCAGAGGCCAGGGAGTGCACCATGCCCTTCATGAGCAACACAGGGAGAAGGGCAGGAGCTCTCAGGCAACATGGAAGCAAAACTAAAGCTGCAGAGTGACTTTTAGGGCATCACACAAACAAAATTAGCCAACAGAGTAGGAGACATTGCCACAGGAGGATTTCATACACTGAAAAGGCAGAAATGTTGCTATGCAACTTGGGCAAAGACAGACTTTTTTGGAAATTGCACTAAGACTGAAGTGGTGTAAAGCATCAGAAAGTTACTTATCAATACTCCCTGTCCAGTCACTATCACACTAATTAATTCTACTGCTAATCAAGCATTTTTCACTTGGTTTCCACTATATTTCTATAAACATACTCTACCAACTCTCTCCTTTCTCTCTGCTGAGTGCTTGATAAGGTCACAAGAAGATCCACTGAGACCAAATATTTCTATATATAGAAGTAATTGCCTGTGGAATTAAGTGCACTTGCCTGGGTATCTAGTTCATACTAAACTTAATTTAGCTGATTTTCCTCGTCTATTATATTAATTATTAGGGACAGTGCACACCGCCAGCTGCAGCAATGCCTATCAAAGTTGGAAACTAATTATCTAATTATGTGGCAAGAATGAATTCCTCTGCAAGAACATCCACAACCATCAGATGCAGACAAACAAGTAAACTATCACAGGGAAGAACCAGTTCCTCCAGACACCCATGTGGCACACACCTCTTTTTTAAAGGGAGGCAAAAGAATGGCAGTGTATTCTAGGAATACTGGTTCTCATTAACCATTTCAAATACATCCCATGTAAGCAGAGCAAACAGTTCCACAGGCCCCAACACAGGCAAAGTGTGCTAGACAATATTAGCTGATTAAAAATATGTGAAATAAAAAAAATAAAATAACTTCAGGGAAGCAAGAATGTCTGGACATGCTGTCGCCTAGGTCTTTGCACCCCAGAAGAGGATTCAAGGAGAGGAGGAAACAGCAGTAGTGGAAGAAGATCAGACCATGGATCTCTTAAGAAATCTTAACCCAAACAAGCCTGAGGATGCAGAGGCAGCAACACCCTTCTTTATTATCCCTGTTCTTTATGAAAGGTTGTGGAGAAAGGTGAATGTTTTATCTGTCTTCAAACAGGGACATAACAAGCCATGGGTCTACAGGCTGGTTAGCCTCACTCTGCTTCCTGGGAAAACCCAAAGCAAATCCTCTGAGAAGCTGCTTCTGAGCACAAGAAGGTGAAGAAGGTGACCAGGACCAGTCAGCCTGGACTTACAGAGGGTTAACCACATTCAGCCATCCTGGTTGCCCTCTATGGCAGCATGACTGGATGTTGTTTACCTTGACTTTGGCAAGGCTTTTGACACTTCTCCCTACAGCATCCTGGTATGTCCAGGTTGGGATGTTACAGTCTAGATAGGCAGACTGTTAGCTGTGTGAGTAGCTGGCTGGAACATCCAACTCAAAGGTCAGTGGTTAATGGTATGTGTCTACCCACAGCACAGTTACCTTGCTTAACACCTTTTATCAGAGCCTGAAGGATGAAAAAACAGGCACCCTCTGATGACACCCAACTCAGAGGTGCACTCAGTATCCCTGAGGGCAAGGCTGCTCTTCAAAGGGCCTTAGGCTGCAGGCAGATATGGGTCAACAGGAACCTTTACATACTTCAGAAAGGACAAGTGCCAAGCACTACTTGTGGGAAGGAAGAGCCCCTGGCTATGAGGGAGGCTAGGGACTGGCTGCCTGAGAAGCAGCTCTGCCCAAAAAGGACCTGAGGGAAGCAATCTGAGCATGAGCCAGCAGCACGCTCTGGCAGCAGAGACAGCCAGCAGCAAGCCACAGGAGCCAAGACAGAACATTAGGCAAAGTAGTTAACCCCTCTTAGATGTGGTCTAACACCCCCTGGGTCACACTTGCTTTGGGACCCACAACACAAGAAAAATGTTGACAAGCTGGCACAAACTCAGAGAAGGGCTGCAAAACGGTGAGGGCTGGAGGACTTGTCCTGTGAGGAGAGGCTGAGGAAACAGGGCCAGCTCAGCCTGGAGGCACAATGGCTTTGGTGGGCCACAAAGCTGCCTCTTGGTGCCCACGGGAAGGGCTGCTGAGAAACTAAACAGTGAGCTGCACCCAGGACAGGGAGTGAATTGAATGAGAATAGGCTCAGGCTTGATGTGGGGATGTCACTATGAGCACTATTTGAAAACTGCCCAAGGAGGTTGTGGAACCTCTGCTCTGGGGCCCAGTCAGACAATGGCCTGAGCAATCTGGTCTGAATTCCCTACTAAGTCTGCTAACACAGAAAGTTGGACTCAAGTTCTGATGAGGTCCCTTCCAGCCCACAAGATCCTTCCCACTTGCAAACAGTGACCAGCACTGGGAGCCCTGGAAGGCAAAATGAAGAAGTTTTTCTTCTCCTCATGACAAGTGCCAATCTCATCATGTTTAGAAGACCTGGAGAGAAATGTATCTGTTTGGGGTTTTTTAATGTATTCCACTGCAATGACTACGTTCTACTTACCAATGCCCTCCAGGAGCATTTATCAACATTTAAATTTTGTAGCAACATGATAATAAGATCAACAGCATTGCCTCTACAGTAGGCTTCATGTGAAACTGCAGATGTGATCCAGGCCAGGATTTATATACAGATTTAGAAGGAACAGGCTTACCCTGTATCTACTATCTACTATGTTTTGCTCTGGTGTATTCAAAGCTGTTCTTAGTTTACATCTGCATAAATAGCAGCCATACCACAGGCTTCGTAGGATTTATTGATGTCCTTTGGAAAGTAGTTTATAGACCTAAAATAGACAGCTATTTTCAGAAAACTTCTAAACAATCAAAATTAATTAATTAAAAAGAACATATACTTACTTATTCCTTGAAAAAGTTCTTCAATGTTAACAGCATTCTTTGCACTGGTTTCAACAACAATTGCACCTATAGATTCTGCATATTCTTTGGCATCCTTCATAGGAACCTCTCTGGAAAAAAAGAAAACAATTATAAATAAATAAAAGAAAGCCAAATTAAAAAAAAATAAATTAAAAAAAACCCAAACAACCTGAAACACAGGCTGAGCATTAATATGCTCTTCATCTCCATAAAAGCAGTACTGTCTTTCTTCATATGGCATTTAGATCATCTTATTAAAATATATAAAAATTTCAACAAAATTTATCAATCTGCAGATTTCTGTGACTTGCTGCTGAATCCATGCCTTGAGAAAAGGAAGATAATTTAAAGAAAATCACATTTGTTTGTGTTTTATATTTGATAAGAAAAGCACTCTCTACATGCAAAATGTTCAAACAAGATAGGGTACAACGTTGAGAAAAGGAAGATAATTTAAAGAAAATCACATTTGTTTGTGTTTTATATTTGACTTTGATAAGAAAAGCACTCTCCACATGCGAAATGTTCAAACAAGATAGGGTACAACCTTGTGGATGAAAACGATAAGAGCATCATATGTCTTGGTCTGCAAGCAGCAAGGAAATGAGAGATTCTGAAGTAAGTAAGAAAACCACTGACTTTGAGAACATCAGCAACAGCAATCTGTGAGTGCCAGTTCACTGGGGAAAAACACCATTCTGTGCCATTTCACCAAACTGACACCATCTTAAAATCACCAGCAGACCAAACACTCTCATTTTGCAACCAATACTTCATATGTCAAAAGCTGGCAAATGCAGTTTACAACATTCAAAAAGACCTCTGCTTTAAACAAGCTAGCCCCGTGCTGGCCTTGTATCTCCCTGAGCCAGGGGGCAGAGCTGGATCTGCCCGTGTGCGCTGCTATCTGTAACCACCTCTACTCCTGATGTTTGAGGAACAGCACAATCTGCACCAACTGCTTCACTCCACAACTCCAATACACCAATCCAGAGACTCCTCGTACACTTTCCTCCCAGTGTGAGTGTGTCAGACACATCACTCAGCTCGGTGTCATCAGCAAACTGCTGAGGGTGCGCTCGATCCCTTCTGTGTCATTACTGAAGGTATCAAATAACACTGGTCCCAGTATGGATCGCTGAGGGACACCACTGGTGTCCAGCAGGACTCTGAGCCATTGACCACCACCCTCCAGATGCAACAGTGTAACCAACTCCTCACCCACCAAACATGCCACCCATCGAATCCATCTCTTTGCAGCTTAGAGAAGATGTTGTAAAGGACCATGTCAAAGGATTTAAAGAAGTCCAGATAAATTACGGAATAAGGAAATGTTATGGATTAATTGAATGAAGATCTGAGCATGAAATTCTGCTGAATTCTCTTAACCAAGGATTTCCAGAGAACACAATTTGTTAAGAAGGTGAACCACATTTTTTGGGAAGTGAACACTTCTTAGCTGGTGTTACAACTATTGAATTCTATGATGCTCAAAAAAGTATTATGGACTCTTACAACATTTTAGCATTGAAGTTTCAGCTCCTGTCTTTAAAAGTACTTTTTAATGACCTGTAAGAAGAAAGCCTTATTCCTATTACTTAGAAGTAACATTCAGCAGTTCTAAGAGTTGACAGTACTACAACAAAGATGAGGATTTATAGTTGATAAAATTGCTTGCCTATCTGTAGAAATTCCTTCAAACTGGAGAAGAAATTTACTTCAACAGAGCACCAAGAATTGCTGATATCTTATTAACAACATTGAGGAAAAACAGTGTGATCCCTAAGTGTTCCAAGGACATTTTGGCGGCTCAAAACCAAATTTTAGATGCTAAACAGGGAGGGTAGCCTGGTTAATGATTATGAGAAATACATTAATTCCTCCTTACATTATCTCTTACACTCAGAGATGGCAGAATCAAACCAACTTGAACTGGGTCAGCTTGACCTCTTTTGCATCTATTCATATTGGTCTTAAAAGCAGCTGTCTCTCTGATATCCAGCAAAACATCTGCCAAAAGCTCTACAAAACCAAGCAGAGATGCCAAAAATGCATACAAACAGCAGCTTGCTCCTGTGTGCTCACATTATCTTACTTGTAAATTCTCTGTGCCTAAAGGCATGTGTATTTTCTACTCATCGGAAACAATCTGATAAATTGGTGACATGTTTCACCTAAAACCATTTTTACTGAAGTAAATCTGAAGACATAAAGCAGACAGATAATGCAAAAAGCTGCATGCATTGCATAAACAATCAGATTTCTGGAAGAACTGTGAAAATATATCACATATGAGACAGTCTACTTTCTATTTTTCCACCAAAATAACTTTAGCTGCACATCACTGGATAACTTCAACAAGAAAAAGGACTGGGGGATGCAGAAAGAACAACTGCACAAAAAAATATTACCAAAACTATTCATAATTATGAGGAGAAAAAAATGTCCTCTCCCATAAAACCCAAAAATATTAAGAGAAGTTAGCTCATGGAGTACAACAAGGACCATTCACACAGCAAAACAACTTGTGGACAGAAGAGCTATACCAGCTGAACAGGAGCAAGAATTGGATGATCAGCAATCAGTAAACTACAGGTAGTGGTTGATAATAATATGGTGAGAAGATCACAGATCACAGTTGCTCTGTGGGGAAGCCCAGTATTTCACAACATTTCTGGGATGCAAGATTTTTTTAAAGTCTTCAATTGGTGCAAGAGCAAGCAGAGAGAGGGCTGGTTATGCACTCTTAAAATTGTTGCCATTTGTCACCATCTCCAAACTTATTACCCTTGAGTTAATCTGGCAACTGTATTGCTGAGAACACTTATGCAATAATTTTGAACGTGACTCTCAGGGTAACCAAAACCCCTGATTTGTGCTGACTTTTGGTTTTATTTTTATAATCATCCTTTCCTCTTTTTTTCTCCTTCATATCTGGAAATTTTTGTCATGTTGGACTCAGTTTCACCATGTTGACCAGCATATTGCAACATCACATAGGAGATGCCAATACATCTGATTCTTAGCCCAACAGAAACCAGAAGTTTGCCAGAATTAGGGCTTGTTCAGTACTTACAGGAAGCAGTGAGTTGCAACTTTGTGTTGGTTCATGGCTGAGAGTGGCAGGGGAGGGAAAAAAACAAAACCCACACAGGTCAAACCCTCACGTAGGCCTTGATTCAATGAAAGCACTGCAGCACTTATTTGAAGTTACACACGTGCTCCAGAGCTCTGGTAAATCTGGGCCAAAGTAACGATAACTAAAGACATGGGGATGTATTTGAACAGCCATGAGAGCCTATGAGGTCATAGGGGGAAAGCATCAAATATCATCATTGAGTTTGTACTCTTAGATGAAGCAAGAAATAATAGTCATGGACTGACAAACAGAATCACTACTGTGCAGCAGAATGTGCTTCCGTTTCCTGAAAGGATAAATGCAAATCCAAAATACAGCTAACAAACAGAAGAGCAATTCTAGCTTCACTCTCATTACAGATAGCATCATCTCAGCTCTTCTGCAGGGGTGTGGATTCAACCCTTCCCTCTTTTATCTAGGAGGTTCTTTGCTTCACACAGGGGACTAAAGTTTTACATGAGGATATGCTCCAAAAATCCCAAAAATACACTTTCTACGTCCATTATTATGAATAAGTTTCAGTTCTTGCAAATCACAAGTTCTCAAAGTTCTGTGATTAATATTTTACCTCTTGCCCACCCTCATAGCTTTATATTGCTGGTTTTGCTCATCACTTACTACATTCTGCACCTTTTAATAAAATGGAAGGGAGAAACAAAAAAGTGAACCCTTTTCCATGCCCAATGATTCAGCAGATAAAGGATGTAGATATTGTACAAATAAAGAGGAAGGGCAGTAAAAAGAGAGGTTAAAAAAACTGTAATTCACATCATGCTGTTGTTGTTGAGGTTGTGCATTGCTAGAATCACTGATTCTAGTACAGGAGGCCAAAATTATATACTGTTATAACAATGAAGCAAAATTGTTACCTGAAGGGAAAAAACAATATAGTTACCACAATGAAAACAACAACAAAAAGTGTTACCTGATATCAGAAAGATCACATTTGTTTCCAGCGATGGCCATTACAATGTTTTCAGGACCATGTTCTTTTAGTTCTTTTACCCATTTTTTCAAAGTATGAAATGAATCCTGCACCAGAGAAATAACAAAATAAGCTACCAGCACACTCTCTGCCAACGTATTTGACTATTTTTTAAAGTAGAGGAGCACAGCTTTGACAGTATTAATGCAATAAGGATTATATAGATCACAAGACTGGAAGATCACTTATCTAGCTATGCAATTTGCTTTTCAAGCTCTAGGCCATAAGGCTTCTCCAAATTAATTCTTGAACTTGAATGTTTCCCTCTTTTCCACTTCCCCTCTTCCCTGCTACAACGCAGCACCCAATATCAAACTTCCAGTGATGAAGAAACTACCCCAGCTCATCTAATAGCTCATTTCCTTCACCTAATGTGAGCTTCATTTGTCTAATTAATATCCAATGGAGCTTCCACAGAGATACCGACTCCCCTGCATTTCCAAATCTGTGATCTGGTAAACCTCAATTTACTAATTATAAAACTGAAGAGGTGACAATTCACTTGGCTTTTTTCCCCTCTAAGCATAAAAATCAAACTCTATCTGATGCTACCGATCTTTTAATAGTAATTTTTCTATTTCTTTACACCAGTGAAGTAGTAGCTTTAAGATAACACTTATTTCTGGAGATTCTAATTATAAAGCACAGTTGAAATTCTTCCTGACAAAATGAGCTCCCAAACAGATGATAAATTATTTTTCCCCTTCAGAAATGCACATAAGAGCTGTCTCTAAATCAGCAATAGCAGCATCAGTATCACCTATCTGTCACTTGGGAAAAAAAATCCATTCTGATTTAACGATTAACACTGAATATTAAGCATCAGAAAGTGAAATACAGATTGACCTTTCTCTCCTATTTCCCCCTCTTTATTCTGAGAGTTGTTCCATAAGCTTGGAGAAAGGTTGTCAAAACAAAATTTTATTCTTACAATATATTACAAGATCAGCTGTAAGATATTTAAATCAAAAGTATCAATCCAGCACGATTCAATCTTCCTCACCTTTTCCTGGTAAATTAGCAGTGGAGAACAGCACTGCTGCACAACAGTGACCACCACTGTCAGCGACAGATCACTACACCAGTGCATTGGGGAACCAAACCAGCCCTCCCAACCTCGCAGTAAATAAGTCAATTGGCAAGAAAGGACTAAAATGCCAGTGAACTCTCCTGGCCATCCATCCATTAGCACTGCCTCTAACTCTGCTACATCAGCAGGGGTTTCCTCCAAAAGAAGTGAAAAAGGCATTCAGCTGCAATCTCCTAGCCTCCTCTGCCTGAGAAATGAGCCAGAGAAGTGCAGGATCTAAAAATACAATTTTCATTCCAAATGAATAATGTTGAGACAAAAGGTCAGAGACTTATGATTTCATTACCAGTTTGAAAATTAAGACATGACGTTTGCAATACAGACATAAAGTTATATGCTTAGATAAAAATAATTAGTTTTAAAATCAGTAATATGCAAACAACTTAATGTCTGCTCAGATGATAAAGCTAACAGCTGCTTTTTGTTAACACAGAGAACATAGGTGGTGGTGGTAGGGGGTATTGCAGGATATGAATCCTGTCTTCTTAGTCAGAGGAAACCTAAAGAAACATTGACAAAATGCAGTCTCAACCCTTTTGTCTACACGAAGTTGAAACAACACAGAAGCAGGAGGACATTTTATTTAATGTTTTAAGGCAGCTGGACACCTCCACCCAGATCTACATAAACTACCGAAGCATATACATGCCAGAAAATGAATTCTGCAGTTGTGGGGTTTAACTCTAACTCTGGCCCAAAGAGAGGAGTTAACACAGGCAAAAAGCATCCCAAAGGTCTCACCTGTTTGGTGATATCATACACTATCACGGCTGCTGCTGAACCTCGGTAGTACATCGGAGCCAAGGAATGAAACTGTTAAAACATAAACCCCCAAGAGAAAGTATCATTAGTAAATCAGAATTATCACATGCTTTGCCAGGTCTCAAAGACTTGCCATGGCAGGACCACCCACTTCCTTTCATCCCACAGAGAACAGACCTTATCAGAGGTCACCCATCTCTCATTTTCCTCAAACACAAAGAAGCCAGACCTCCTTTATCTCCTGCTGTTCTTCATCCCACTGAATTTACAAAACCAACCCTTACTGATTCAATGCATCAATTTCATTACAGGGCATGGACTCTGAGGAAAAGTTTTGATAGGAAGATCAACTGCACTTGGAAGCCTAACCTGATGGCATAGGGACCCCTTCCTCTGGCAAACCACAGTCTTGCTTTGTAGATCTAAGACTGGATTCAGCTCAGGTTTGAATTTTGTAAATCATTGCAAATGACTTGTATAAAACTAACTTGTCAGAAAAATCTGAACACCTGTCTTGTTTACCTATCCTATACTATGATAGATATTTCAAAAAACATGGATTCTTGCAGTTGCTCTTCAGCCTTTCATTTCAAGGAAAACATTCTTTGAGGAAAAAACCTGAGAAATAAACATGTTTGTTAGAACAACTGAAGAACAGCATAATCTTCATAATTTACCAATGACTAAGCAGCTGATTTAGAATTTCAGCTTACAATTACAATTAGAGTGAGGAAGTAAAAAAAGTCTTTCTGCTGATTCAACTAAGCTTAGTCTCAAACAAACCAAAAATAATCTTTTTTTTGAAAATACATTCAGTCTCAGTATGCTCACACAGCCATTTTATAATTTTGAGGGGGGGAAGCTATCTGCACAAGCTGCATATTAAGCTGCAGCTAATAACTGAGGTCAGCACCTAAATCAAACACATTATTAGGGCAGGGTCTGAAACTCACTGCCCGGCAAAAACGCGGATCCACGCGTTACACTGCAAACCTCTGCATGGTCAGCACCTAAATCAAACACATTATTAGGGCAGGGTCTGAAACTCACTGCCTGGCAAAAACGCACGGATCCACGTGTTACACTGCAAACCTCTGCACATTTACTGCACACATCTTTTCCCCAGATCTGTACCTACTGACTGAGCATTCAGACTTTTAGCAACCTCCACACTTCTTGCTGTTCCACGTGCAACGTATCAGGCAATTTATTTGCAGTGCTGGTTCACTTGCCAGTTTGTAAGCTATTTGTCACAGATCACGCACACCAGCTCAAGGTCGGCGCTCTCTTTTATAGCAGCATGGATGCACAGCAGCAGTGACAGATGGTCAAGTGCCTAAGTGTTTTGGGGAGCGAGGCAGGTGGGAGAGCTCATTAATAAGAGAAAACAGCAGGAAAGAGGATGAGAAAAGAAAGAGGAATCAGTCAAGAAGCGTGGTCTGAAGAAATGGGATCAGCCAAGATCCTGAGGGAGTTGGGTAGATGTGTGCTTTCTGGGGTTTTAGTATGTAGCTTTATTACTTGCATGCTTAATGCAGTAAATGCTTTCCAGAATTTTTAGGCTTCTAAAACACAACAGAAATTTTCAGTATGTTAGAACAGAACAGACCATTTCAGTTGGAATGGACCTGCAACAATCATGTAAACCAAGTACCTGGTCAATTCACGGCTGGCTAAAAGTTAAATCATCTTATTAAGGGCACTGTCCAAATGCTTCTTAAACACTGATGAGCTTGAGGCATCACTTCAGATAACAAGAAGGGCTTTTTCAAGTATGCCAACAGCAGAGGAGGTCTAAAGAAAACACTGGACTCACTTATTTCTCGATGGCCAAGGCATCCCACCTACTACCACATCCCCCTAATCCTTCCTAATCACAAAGGAGTCTAGGAGGGCGTCTTGCCTGGCTGGGTCACTGAATGCCTGCAACTAGAGTTTATCTCTTACTATCTTCAAGCCAAGACTGTCTCCTCAACACGTTGTGTTGAAGCTGTCTGAAAGTCAGGAACCTTAACTGTGGAGGGTACATCTGACCTTTCATGGTGTATGCACACTCCTCCCAGTCTGTAAACCCCAGGGAAAAAACATTCAAACCCTGCACACACGCTGATTTGGTCTTAATCTAGATTACATCTTAATCTAGATTACATAGTATTCATGAATTTACAAAGAACTCTCAGATAACATTAATCATACTTCACAGGAGCCATGCAGTTAAACCCACATACTCAAAATTCCTTCAAGATTGGCCCTGAAAGCAAATTAAGAACCTGGATAACATCTTGGGAACTTGGGAATTTCTCTCCCTTTTCTTCTGACAGGCTGACAAGAACACTTCCCTTAGAAGCTGTTTCACTGAAGAATATTTGCAGTGTTAGGGCCAGAAAGAAAAAAAAAAATCCCTTTGTCATTCTCTTATACAGGCTAATAAACAAACATAACAATACACTAGGTCCCAGTCACAAGAAATCACTGTTTTCTAGAACAAAACAAGAAAAGCCTCTTTGCAACACTGAATGAATCAAGAGGGGCTGAAAAATTGTAACTGCATGAGTTTAATGACCTAATGATAGTCTTTTAACAAATATGCTTAATGAACATGAATTTTCCAATGTCATGCAAATAATGAGGTTTATTTTTCTTTTAAATCAGTGCCCAAAAGCAAAGTCCTCTTGAACATTTTTCTGGCCTAATTAATTGGAAAAACAGAGTCACACCAAATTAATTAAAGGGATACAAAATACTAATCTGCACATTTTTCACCTGCCAAGGACCAAATGTGGGACAGATGCCCAAACCAAAACAAATGACACACAAAAAACAGCTCACAAAATTAAATCTCACGGGACTACCTTCTGCATTATAAACCACAATATCTATAACCATTATTTTATAGTTCAGTATTTCTGTAGCGAGTAATTCCCAAGAAAATTAGGAGAAGCAGAAGTAGTTCAAGATTTGGCATAAGAACAACACTGCTTGAGAAGGGCCACCTGAAAATGCTCAGGCAGCCACTCCTGGCTCTGCCACACAAACACTCAGGTTACAGCCCCAGCTTTCCAGGGAGTCAGCCATCCATAACCTGCAGCCAAGAGCAGCACTCTGGCAGATGTCACCCCTTCCTGCAGGCAGCAGCAGCTCACATCCCCTTGGCCTAACAGGAAAACACAGACCAGAAAGAGACTTCTATCAGCTCCCACCATCACAAATAATCACACTCCTAACCCATTTCAAAGGCTGATCAATGTTCTGCCTAAAATAATTAATTTTCTTTTTTCATTATACTGCTACAGGGATCATATTACTTCAACAATTAATAACATTTTGAAATCCTAATTACTAAATTACTTGTAATTGCTTGCACCTTGACTTAGTGAAATTAAGGGACCACCGCTTGCCTTTAGCTGAAATATTAATATAGAGTGACAAGATTGCAGATTTAACTTTGCCAGTCTGCTATACCAGACTCTTACACTCTGAAGATAATGTAAAAGGGAGAAATCAGGGTCTAATCACCTTTTCTTGTGCCTGGTCCAGCTTCAGGTCACCTTTCCTGACTGCTGGTGACCAGGTTTCTATGCAGCATTATAGACCTTGAATGAACAGCTTTAACTGCACATCCCCTAACACTTTTCTCATGGCTGCATCATACTCACATGATCATCCTTTAATTGGTGAATACATTCAGAGGTGGCTTTTCTCCTCTGTTTCCCCCCAAAAAATTCCAGAATTTAAAAACTCACCTACAACTTTACAATATATATTTTTGTTAGGAGCAAAAAATGCAGAACTTTGGTACTTACACTACCAAACTTCATCTCAACTGCTTTCCACCTTCTAAGCACTGGGAAAACCTCTCATCTCTGCATGATGAGTAAATTACCATTAGCAGATCACCTGCTAAGGGAATTTAGGAGTTTTGTGCCTCTCATTCAGTGTTCACCAAAAAAAGTTTGCCTATTTCCCTATTTGACCAACTGCATCACTCATTAGTCCCATTTTGCTTTTGGAGAGGTTGATAACAACTGGTGAGGCTGAGGTTGCTAATCCACACAGTGCCATACTCAAGTTGTAGGGGTACATTTTCAAATCCAACAGCCAGGCTGAAAGGACCATTCAAAATATAAATAAGAAACTTATTTTTCCAAAGACATGCCAAAACCCAGAATCAATCACTTCGTGCAGACTTGCAGGACTCTCCTCCTGGGAGACGCACAGTGTGCTCCATACCTACAGTCACCTGAACCCTGGCACAATGCTGACTGGGCTCAGGACACCTTCTTCCTTGTGCTCTCTACCAACACATCCCCTTTGCACTTGTGGTTCATCACCTCTGACACTAAGCAAAGAAGTGAGGCCACATGTGCATTATGAAATTTCCTCTGAAAGCAGAAACCAAGGGTCCAACTAGAAGCTGCCCAACCCTTTACAGCTGTAGAGCCCCATAGTACAGGCAGCAAATTCAGTCTTACATGGTGCAAATGCAAGCTGAGCATAACCAGAGTTTCTCTCATTGATTCCAGGAGTATTTTGGGATTCTGCAACCCCTCACCTGGCCATCTCAATGAAGTCAACAGAAGCTTTGCCCTTGCAAAGGACAGAAAGATGGAACAAAGTAGCCATTAAGGAATTTACCACCTATTTAAAAGCAGCATAGTATTTTGCTTTCTGCTTCCTGTGCAGCTCATCACAGAGGGGCGTATTTGGTCAGAGGTAACACCATCTTTCCTCTTACTAAAAGTAAAGAATGGGGAAGAAGGAAAACCATCACATTCTACTTGGAACTGAAAATCAAAATCAAGGGAAAACAGCATAAATGACACCTGAGCTGTGGTAGTGAAAGTCTCTTAACCCTGTCTAATATAATGCTGATTTAGAAAGGAAAACAGAGGCCAAATGAACACAGAAATAAAAACTACAACTCCTGCTTGTTTATACACAGGCTGACAAACGCTGCTGAAGACAGTGGGGATTCATTCAATCTGCCAGGCACACCAGGGAACATTAATTCATGTCAGCAGCTCTCTGCACCATCCTGTGGTGCTATATCC